CTCAGATTTGAGAAGGTAAGGGAAGTACGGAATGGATTTTTAAGGACAAAGAAGAGTTAGCTAAAGAACTCATTACCCAGTTCAAACAAAGGTATATAAACGAAAACTAGGGTAAGGGTATTTAAGGAACTGCAGGTAGAATGATGTGAGCTAGATTTTTAAGCAATGAAGCTAGAGACATAGGTAAGAATCAGAGAAGAAGAGACTCGTACATCATACCTAAAACTCTGAAGGGGCTTAAAAAAGAGAACACTAAATCAGACTTACATTTTTGTTGATCACTCCAGTGGCAGTGTAGAGAAATAAAAGTAGAAGAAGCTTGACCATATAGTAAGTTATTTCAGTAAACCAGGAGAAGAATGACAAAAACCTGAGTTCAATCTGTAGTGCTATGGATGAATTTAAGAACATTTATGAGGTCAAACTGATGGATGTAGAAAATGATTAGAGGGTTCAGGAAGGGTGGCAGCTCAGGATGATTCCCTGGCTTCTAGTTTGAGAAACTGTGTGACTATCAATGTTACCAACTCTTGGTAACCAAAGCAGAGACGCTGTTGTAAACTGAGGCTAAATGTGTTATGTCTGGTGTAACATTACCATTTAGGATGAATGGTTAGAATTGCATACAAGAAGTGATACGTAATAGCTAACAGGAAAATTGGGCCTGAAGAAATAAACTCAGCACCTACCATACTGGAATAATTATGAGCCCAAAAGTATGTAAAATCCCCATAAACTGAGAAAGGTGAAGCATAAAAAATAAAGCCCTGAGTAAGATAACTGAGATGTTTTCCACCAGCTAAAAGTAACCGTTGTGTTCCTCCTGGGTCTTCCCTTTTCTAATCATTCACAAAATTTTTTTCCACTGTGTCCTCTACTCAATTGCTTCCAAATATGCTTCATTTTGCCCATACTCCTCCTAAAATGGGATACTTTTGTTTTACATTAATCCATGGACTGGGGGCTGGGGATTTAGCTCAGCGGCAAAAGCGCCTGCCTGGCATGCGCAAGGTCATGAGTTCGGTTCCCGGTACTGGAGAAAAAAAAAAAAACAGGTTAAATCCATGGACTGACCAGAGCTAAGAATATCATGTATCTTTTGCAATCCATAAGGGACAGAGATGACAAAAAACAAAAGGCACCAATTTGTGTCTTCCTACTTCCATAATTCAGATTTGTCCTTAGAAAGTGGTTGCCCACCCAAAGATTGTATTTCCTAGACTCCCTTGCTAATACAATATGAAGGGAAATTATGTGCGATATTTCTAGGCCAAGTTTTTATGAAGCCAAGGTCCTGCAAGGGATATGCAAATGATCTTGAAGCCAAAGCTAACAATGTCACTGAGCCACTAGATGGGAGAAACCCAAAGCCCTGAGTTCATGGAGGAAAACAACAGACAAGACCAGGAGTATTTGACTTGTATAGTAAGCAAAAAATAAATTTCAATTCTTGTATGCTATTGAGATTTTAGTGGTCTATATTTCTATAGCAGCTATGATTTTAACATCCTGTATCCATTAAAACAGCCCAAGAAGCCATTAATTAGAGAAGACATCACGCCCATATATTTACAAACTTGGATTCTCTAATTCTCTAATTATAAATTTTTTTGTTCCAACTGCAGAACTTTACATTTATCCCTATTAGGTTTCATCTCATTGGATTTAACTAGTGTCTGACTATTTTATATCTGAGGATTTGGTTTTTACATTCAGTACATTAACTATTCCTTTCAACTATGCAACATCTCAAACTTGATCAATAGTTCTACTTTTGAACCATTATTAAAAATAATTGAGAGGTTGGTTTTGAACTAACATTTCCAGACATATTCTCTTAATTGCTTTCTGTATCAGCTTTCCATAGAACTTTCCCAACCCTAATGATTCGTCTCCTAATTTAGGCATGCTTGTCTCATCCTACTGAACTCTTGCTTGAGTTTTGCAGGACTTAAAGATGAGAAGATCCAAAGAATAAAAACGTAATCGAAGTAAAGCCAATCTGCCCTCCTCCTTCCCATATCCTCAGCACAAGCTCTTTATCAGTTCCAAATCGCCACTACGGATGTACTGACATCTTCCCTCTCAGCTTCTGGCCTCTCCCACTCTGATTTCTTCTCACAGATCTTTCTCTCTAAAATCTATCCGGCCACATCTTTCTCCCAGTAAAGATTTCCAATGACGTCTCATTACATCCAAATGTCTTCACTTGTTGTACCACTTAGAGATGGACCCCCATTCCCTATTCTCTTGCCTTTTCCACCAGCTCCATCCTGCACCTCTTCTCACGTACACCAGACACTGGCCTTGTAAATATTGTTCTTCACCTTGAACTAATGCCCTCCCCTCCAGCCTTTCCCAGGCATAGGTAATGACCTTTTCCTGTTTGTTCTTATTTTTGCTGTGCTCAAGTTCACTGTTCACAAGTCTATCTGCGCCTTCAGCTGTGAGCAGACTGAGGATAAGGCCGTGCTTTCACTTCTGTTTCCCAAATTCCCACCAAAGCACATCCTTCAGATTCAAGCTCAGTAAGTGTCTGGTGGGTATTATAGTAAGTAACAGAAGGGAAACAAAAGTGGTGAGTGAATGCAGAAGTTGGTGAAAGGCAGAAACAGAACACAGAAACAGAACATTCAAATTGCTAATGTTTACGCGAGGTTAAAGGGAAATACATAAACCCATTATATTCTCCAGTTCTACTGAAGTATATTTGATGGATACAAAATCACATACATTTAAGGTTTACACCATCATGTTTTAATGCATGTATACATTGTGAAATGACTTCTACAATCTAACTTATCTAGCACCTCAAATATAACCATTTATGTGTATGTGTTTGATAAGAACTATTATGGTCAACTCTCTTGAATATTCAGTACGTTACTGTTAACTATAGTCCATGCCGTATGTTAGATGTCCCTAATTTATTTAACCTGCATAACGGACCACTGTGCAATATCTCCCCATTTCCTCCATTCCCAGCCCCTGGTATTCATCCTATTCTGAACTTCCTATAAGTTCAACTTGTTCTTAGATTCCAGATGTAAATGAGATCATGTCATACTGACTTTCTATGTTTGATATTTCACTTAGCAGGTTCATTCAGGATGTTACAAATAACAAAGAATTCCTTCTTTTTAAAGGCTGAATAATATTTCATATATATTACATACATTCATACACATAAATATATAGATATACATGAAATATCTTATATTTTCTTTACCCATTCATCCTTTGATGAACATTTAAGTTGTTCCCTAGCTTGACTATTGTGTGTAATAATGCAATGAAATGAAGTAGCTGGTAACTCTTCTAAACATTATCTCATTTCCTTTAAATATGTACCCAGATGAGGGATTGGTGGATCATATAGTAATTCTACTTTTCATTTCTGAGGATATGTCATGGTAACTGTATGGTTATTTCCATGGTAACTGTACCAACTGATGTCCCTAAAAGTATACAAAGGTTTCCTTCTCTTGCCCAACACTGACTATCTTTTCCCTTGTTGATAATAAGTATCCCATCAGGCACAAAGTAAAATCTCATTAACATATGTGCGTGATTGTCCACCCAGTTAACATCTGACTTTAAGAACCAACACTTTATTCTTTACAGAATGAATGACAGTAACCACACATATCCAGAGCATTATCTTTACCTCACTGATACATAGAATAGATTTTAAAACTCCTTTTATATTTAATTACAACATATTTAAGAAATGTGAAACTGCCTTAATATTTAAACTCTTTCTTACAACTGGTCAGCTCAAATTATCATTATTTGTTGTTTTTTCTATTAGCAAAATAACAAAAAATTAATAAAAATGCCCCACACCTACAAATAAATTAAGTCAGAAGAATAAATCCAATAATTAGTATGGGAATACAAAGCAGGGTTGATTTCATTACATAATAGTTTCCAAAGGGAACTGGCTGTCTTCCTTTGAATCTTGATTAAAGGTGTGCATAGGAAGGATATTCTACTCAATCTCCTTAGAGATTTCTTTCCATGATGTGGTTTCCCTCGAGTAGCTGCTATGATTAACTGGGCTGGTTTCTTTCATAATCGTCCTGAAGCCCTTTGTATTTTCAAACTGCTTTGCAATTGTTTTTTTCTAGGATTTACTTAAAAAATGGTTCCATTCAGTGATGCAAAGAGAAAAACAGAGCTTTGGAAGGTTACTGGCAAAGCCAAGATAAAACAATAGAAAGTCTTTCATTTTTTAAGGTGTCTACAGGGCCCTTTTAAAAAATAATTGCATTTCTAAAATTTAAATATGTCCACAAGAACAGAGCACTTAGCTTTCTTTCTTTGGATCTGGAATAAATAGTGTTATCAGATAAAACACAGGATGTACAGTTAAAGTTGAATTTCAGTTAACAGTGAACTTTTTCAGGATAAATGTTTCATGCAATCCTAGAAGTTCTAATACTGAGTTTTCTGCATCCTCACTAGATCAATCCGGGAGCCCTAATTTTAAAATACAATATCATTCACCCCAGAGCTATATGAACTTAGCAAGGAACTTCATGTTTCTGGGTTGAAACATCCTGATTTCTGAAAATAAAATGTGCAGTGCTCAAAGTGGAAGTGACTTCCTTTTTCTAAAATTTTTTATTTTAAAAATTAAAAAAAACTAACAAAACAACAATGAAGACAAAAATCAAAACAACCCAAAAACAACAAAAACAATACATGACCTCAAAACAAAGTGATAGAAATTAACAATGGTGGCTACATTCCATAATGTTATCTTCAATGAAGTTTCCCAGTCTACCAGACATGAGAATGTAAGACTGATCAAACAATCAAAGACAGTAACAAGTAATAAAAAAATAACATTGGAAATGAGGCAAAGCTTCATACAAGATGGTGGGAGTTCAACAACGGTTCTTATACTGCATATTGTTGTTTTCGGGTCAGTCAGGATGTGACTTCTGTTGTTAACTAGGCTGTATCACAGTATCTTTCCATTGTCCAAAACTTACCTGGGTGTTAAACTTCGGTGTCATGCAAAGCGTGGAGTAGGAAACGTTGAGGTGAATTCCACCACTGACCACTTATGTTATCCTTAGACACATCAAATCCTCAGCATCTCAGATTCTTCAGCTATAAAAATAGAGATAAGAGGGTTATTGTAAGGGTCAAATTAAATGTATATAGAAGTGCTTTGGGTCTATGAAAAATTATAAACAGTGTGGCTTATAAAAAGTCACTCCCCTCCTATAAGAGGCTCTCCCACTTTGTTAAAGTGAGTTATTCTCAAAGCTGTACAGCCAAAACCTCTGTTTCCCTAGGTGATTCAAACCAAATCTTCAAGTTCAAATAAACGCTTAGGTGGTAACTACGAGGAGTTGTTCTACCATCCTTTCTCCTTGTACTTCAGGAGACTTAGGTTAAAATGACAGCCCTGATCCTCAGTTTCTTCAAATAAAAAACGGCCCAATGGGCTGGGAATTTAGCTCAGTGGCACAGCGCCTGCCTGGCAAGCGCAAGGTCATGAGTTTGATTCCTGGTACTGGAAAAAAACCAAAAAACAAAAACAAAAACAAAATAAAAAACGGCCCAAGTAATATCTTTCATATATTTATCATGAAGAGCAAAGGGGAAAAACTATACAACAGGCCTAGCGCCCAGAGTTTCTCACTGGAACTGCGGTCCTGTCTCTTCTCCACGGTTCTCTTGGACGCCTCTGTTGAAGCCTGGCGCCGGGTAGAGGCCACAGGGAGCTGTGTGTGTTTCTGGGGCGGGTCTCAGTTTCCCTTCTCCTCCTCTGGTCAGAGCTCTGCTGTCCGAACCCCGAAGGGGCAGGAGGACCTCCTCCAACCTCCAGGCCTCCTCAGGGATGGGGAAGGGATACGCAATGCATTTATTTCTCTGGACGTCTATGGACCCATAAGGCAATAATAACCTTCCCTAACCTCCACCAGATTCGAGCCAGAAAGCAGCGGGACAGTAGTCGCCTTGACCCAAAGGGGCATCCAGCCTGTCCCGCAGCAGACGGGCTAATGCGATCCAGACCTCAAGCAGCTCCCGGGATTTGATGACGGCCTGGGCCCTCCCTGCACCCGCGCGCCGGCCTCAGCGCCTCTCGCTTCAGACGTGGCTCTTCCTCGGCCACATTCTTCAGGTCGCCAGTCCACTTCTAGACCGGGACAGAGGGATGTCTGCCCTGGGGAACTTCCAAGCAACCCGGGGGACGGCGCACTCACCCTTGACAGAAGACGACTTGGAAAGGGCATCCGGGGCCTTTGCATTCATATCTGTGGTGCAACAGTGACCTCCAGTGGCTGAGCCAGGAGAAAAAACTGCCCCCGCTGGCTCAGAGCTGCACTGTGCCCCCGGGATGCGAGCGTGACGCGTAACAGCGCCTTCTTACAACTACTTACCAGAAAACCTATGCACAGCATCTTTAAAAAAAAAAAAGAAAGAAAGAAAGAAAGAAAGCAAAGGAACAAAGCCGAGTTATGCACCAATTGCATCTAACCACGTCACTCCACTACTTACAACCTTAAGTGGCCCTTGACCTCAGGGACTGACGCCTGAGTCCCCACAGCAAATGGGATTCTTTGGCATCTGAGCACGACTTCCTACGATTGCGCATTTCTTAATACACACCAGGCTTTCCCTAGTCCCTAAGTGGCCTGCACTGCTGCTTCTGCTTTAAATGTCTCCATTTCTCTGCCTGGTGAAATCATTTTTGCTTGAGGATTTCAGATCAGACTTTGCCATTCAGGGACACCTTTAATAATATTCCTTCTAACCGCTGTGTAACTAATTTTGTTTTCAAAACATGCAGCAAATGAAGCCAATATACTTATGTATTCAGGAGACAATAATGGGACATTGTTATAAGATATCATTGTGCTGGGCGTTCTAGATAACAGATAAAAGAAGCCTGGCTCCTGACCTCGAAATGCTTGGAGACTGGTGGGGATACACTGGGCTATGACTGCCTTAGATGCAGTAAGGAGCTGTACTGGCTACACATTCGGCCTAAGAATGGGATTCATTGTTTCAGTTTGTGGAAAAGGCAATTAGACACCCTGCCCTGCTCTGGCTGGGTCTTGAAGGGTGAGTAGGAGTTAGCCAGACAGATGGGAGAGTTTAAAAGAGGAAGGCAGGAATGAAGCACACGGGGAACATGCAGGGTGCACTGGAGCAGGGAGAGTCCATCCTTATGGTAGGGTGGGTCCATGTTGCTGGAATATGGTTTCTGTATTGCACTGCCCAGAGATCAGAGCTAGAGTACAACTAGGATCAAAAGACAGGCTCAGCGGTTCAAAATGCTGCCCGTGGAAATGAGGAGCCACTGAAGATTCTTGACTGAAGGCAATACTTAGGAAAAAAGAACCAGCACCTAAACTAGCAATGACAGGTCACACGAGCAAAACAAGATCAAGATCGGGTTTCTACCCGTTAATGGCACCCAGACACAGGCTGTTAGATAAATCTTGACTGAGAGGGTAAGACCAAGCCAATGCGTGGCTAAACACACAGGTCAGGTACAGAACCCAAAGGGGAAGACTAAGACACAGAAGGCTTGTGAATGGAAACAGGCATCAATGTCCAGAAAATGACAGGCCTGGAGAGGAAATGTGAGAAGTCCAGCTGCCCCCTCATGGCCTGCACCTTGCTGGCTCATGGTCACCATTATAGGCTGGGGCTGGCTGCTAGGAGAGGATCTGACAAAGCCGACAGCAGGGTCCCAGGACTCTGGAGGGCCTGCCTCCAAGCGGCCAGTGGGGCTCCACTCGTACCATGCGTCTGGTAGATGGTGGGCCTGATCCTCAGGCGCAGCTGATAAACACTGACTGGCTGTCCTGCTGCAGGATCTGTTGTTATGTGTCCCTTCTGGACATTACATCATGAGTGGGGGAAGAGAGCTTTCTCTTGGCATACAGGGCAGGGGACTGACTGGTGGCTAAGATGGGAGAGGGGAAAATTAGGAGGGCAGAGTGAAGCTATGTATTTTTGGGTCTGGATATCTCGGGATCCTGCTACACACAGATGTGGGACACTGCCCACCTGTCACAGGCCTGTCTGGGAAAAGGCAGCCAACACAATGAAGGCAGCAGACCTCTCCATCCAGGTTCCCACAGCAAGCTGTCTCTCTCTGTTGCGATATTTAACACAGTGAAGAGGACGCGTCTGTGTACGTATATACATATCCCTCAGAAAGTAAGTTCCTTGAGGTCCACGGAAACATCCTCCCCAACTAGCACAGTGCCTGGCACAGTCAGCACTCAATAAATACTGAAGGAAGCTGGGCGTGGTGGCACACTCCTATAATCCCAGTACTTGGGAGGCTGAGGCAGGAGGATCGCCATGAGTTCATGGCCAGCCTGGGGTACATAGTGAATTCAAGGCCAGCCTGGACTACAGACCAAGACCTTGTCTTAAAAAATCAAAAAAATAAAAAATACTGATGTAAGTAAAGAACAAATAAGCAACCTGAGGATGAAGGAAACCGGATATGAAGTCCTGCAGACATCTGTGGCTTGGCCCCGAGTACCAGAGAGTCCTATATTTTCCAGATGTGTCCTTTCTCCTTTTACAGATGTTGCTAACCTGTACACTAGAAAGAATGTTAATTTGGGAAACAGATGAAGGTGATTTTTAATTCAGGTTGTGCCATCTCATTAACATGAGCAATTTACTCACATTTTCTAAGATGTCATTCTCTCACCTAAAATACAAAGATAACAATATTACCTTTCCCACCAAAATGTGGTGAGAGTAAGAAACTATACATGTAAAGTGCTTGTGCGCTCGGTGAAGCAAATAGCAGGTCTGCCGTAAATATATCTGCTGTGATTGGAGCACGATGTGCCTTCTTGTAGTGGACTTTGAGCCAACACAAGTCCCAGAAGCTGCGGTGGATGGTCTTTTCCTGCACACAGATCAGTGCAGGACTTGGGCGCTGGGGAATGTCTGGTATGACAGAGTGCTTGTGGCCACGGTTTTGTGGTGGGAACATACAGATTAGCACTTGTACCCAGCCTGGCAGTGTAGGGTTTTGCTAGGTATAAAATGGGATCACCATGGAGGAATGCGTGTGCCCATACATCAGCCCATGGTTGCCGGAGTCAGGGATGGGGAGCTACGAAATCTCGGCGCAGAGAATCTGTGGGAGGTACACAATACTGCGAAATCCAAGACAAAGCGCAATACTATAGAGACCTAGCTCCTGGGATTACAGGTGTTAACATAAAGAAGTGAAAAAAACCTCACACAAAGTCACTCTCTGAGTTTGAATGAGATATTCAGTTGCTTAAGACTCACTTTTGGCATCCATTAAATGCCAGCCACCTTCAGTTAGGGACGCCAGAGTTCATGGCCTGGAATTTCTTCTCACATACAAAATAATTCCGCTTGGTCAGATTTTGTTAAGAAAGGAGAGTGACGTCCACTTTAAGAATGCTTCTGAGTCAGGTGGCCACATTTAAGACATAAATCTGAACCCAAAGTGGCTGACAGTGACACAGGTACACATCCTAGGGCTTAAGCAATCCAGAGTCTGGGAGAACTAAGTATCAGTTTGAGAAACCAAGGATCCAGAGAAGAACAGGTTTTTCCCAAACACCTATTAGATGGGATGACTTGAAGCAATCTCATCTACTCTAGAGCAATAATTTGAAAGGATAAATAATGTAGCCCAGGTCTCTAAGATCTGGATCCTGTACCCAAGCACCTACTGACCTTGCCCATTAGCACAGTTCTCAGACTCCCCAAATCCAACTTTTCCCACACTTACCTAAGGCAGCAGCACAGCTTTCCAAGCATTCTTCTTGGTTTCTTCTCCTCTCCTTGCACATCTAAAGAATCATCATGTTTCACACGCATTAGTTTTCTCTTGCTTTTGTAACAAATAACTACAAGGCGATAAATTTAAAATAACACAAGTATGCAATATCCCAACCATTGGTGAATGCCTACCATCTTGTTTGGTGAAGCTCTATATTGTTTCTAATGTTTTTTACTAGTGTTTATTCTCTTTAATGGTTTGATAAATTTTGCATTGTGACATCTGGCAAGCTGGGCAACTTCATTGAAGATAATCATATGTAATATAATAACCACTGTTAATTCCTATCATTTTGTTTTGAAACTCGGTATCAGCCAGGTGTGGTGGTGCACACCTGTAATCCCAGCACTTAGAAGGCTGAAGCAGGAGGATCGTTGTGAGTTTGAGACTAGCCTGGGCTACAAAGTAAGCTCAAGGCCAGCCTGAACTGCATAGCAAGATCCTGTCTCAAAAAGATGAAAAAAAAAAAAAAAGAAAGAAAGAAAGAAAGAAAAAGAAACCCTACATAATTTTTATTGTTTCATTTTGTTTTGTTTTTGTCTATGCTGTTGTTATTTTATTATCTTTTAGTCTCTTTATCATAAAAAAATAACAATAACACAAATCTGTCATCTTGCAGTTCTGTGGGATAAAAAATCCAACACAAGTCTCACTGGGCTAAAATCAAGGTCTTGACAGGGCTACATTCTCTTCTGAAACAATGTTTCCTTTACCAGCTCTTAAAAGCCACCCATATTCCTCAGCTCAGGCACTTTTCCTCTACCTCCACTGCCAGAAACATCTCTCTGACCTATGTTCACGGCCACATCCCTTTCTGACCACAGCCAGGAGAGCGTCTCAAGATTTTTCACATTCTAAGGTCTTGTGTGTCTAGATTGAGCCCACCTGGCTAATGAGGGGTCATCTCTCCCATCACAGGACCCTTTTCTTCAATCAAATATGGAAAGTCCATTTTGCCATATAAGGAGCATACATTCATAGGTTCTGGATATATGTGGGGGATATACATATACTCTGGCTACGAGAGCCTGTATTATCTCATAATCTTCTCCAGAATTCTTTGAAAGGGCCACTATTACTCTCTCCATTTTATAGATGTCTTAGTTACTTTTCTCTCTTGCTGAGACAAAATACCTGACACCCAAAATGAAGGAAAAAAAGGTTTATTTAGCTTACAATTTGTGGAGGTTTCAGTCCATACTTGGCTGGCTTGAAGACAGAGTGGCACATGGCAGAGGGCAACAGTTCATGACCGTGAAACAGCAAAGCAACAAGAGCAAAAGGGAGGACTAGGGGCAAGCAGCCTCGTTCCCTCCTTTGCATTGCAAACAGGCTACCCCCACCCAGGGGGCATGTAGCTCTCACATAATCTCCATGC